AAATCACTTAACGAACATCGCCATATAATTTGGGCTGATCAAGCCATGCCCCGAAGGCCTCTGAAAGCTCGAAACGCCGCCCGTCCGCATAAGAGAGCAACTCACAGGAATCTTGATGGATCGAGCACGAATTAGCCACGCTATTGGCACAGCTGGCTTCCATAGGAAATCTAGGGTGCTGTGAAGAAGATAAGCTAGCAACAAGACGATACCAGATCTGCAAATAAGCGCCCTATCCACGTATACTCGAACAGATTCTCATCCTGGGAATGATACAGAGCGGGGGGAAGTTGTCGCCAAGCACAGGTTTAGTTCGCGTCACCAGCGCCCGGAGCCGAGAGCATGCGCCACGGCTCTTGCTTACGATGCGTACCGGCGAGTGTTCACGCCTGTGACTTTTCCGCAACATCACTGCAGAGACTTGATCTGCGGACGTGTCTCTGCAATGATCTATTCAATTGGGCCGCGGTCCTGAAGGATCTAGACAAACATGAGGACAGGAAACCGTCATTGCCAAGTCACATTATTAGACTTTGATCAAATAAACAGAACAGTTTACATCAAAACGGGATGGCCCACTTGAAATTGGGGAGAGGATGGAATTGAGCGAAGGATCGCAAGGTAGGATTCCTCGGGACTGCCAAGATCGGGTCGTTGTTCCAGAGACCGTGACACAGCACCCGGGCGGACAATTCAGTCGGTGCGTAATTAAGAGCGCATAGCGACCTCCTCTCAGTCGCTTCATAGGGATTCTTGGCAGCTGCAATCCGTCAGCAATACCTCCAGAAATAATCCGGAGGATCGCGTGTAAGTCGACTGGAAACCTTACGATGGCAGGGCGTCGGGCATGTGGGGTTATGCCGGCAGAAGAAATATCTTAGCCCGGCCACCAGCTGAAAGCCGTGCCTTGCTTAGCTCTTTTCAGCGCATGATGCAGTGCGAGGTTCGGGGCTGTAGTGTGAATTGTGTTGCGCAGCTGCGAGGACAAGAAAAGTCCATTTGCTTGTATTAAGATTGCATGATGGGGTCGGCAAGTGGCACAAGACGGAGGCGTAGGCTGTTGACTCAGATCGAACTTTCGAACGGCCCGGGGGCGGTCCGGATGTCGCCGCGTCGTCCGGACAAGATGCGCCGATGGGCTTGTTGAGATCCGCCTCCGACCAACTTGTAAGACCGTGGCGACAAACCCAACGGAATGAACGCAGAGGGATATTGACGATCAAAAGCCCTTGCTGCAAACACTCTATCGCCGGCGAACTGTCTTAGAGTGTCTCTGGATGATGGGCATAGCAGACGGGTTGACGCGTGGGAGGTAGGTCACTGTCAGTCAAGCTTTGATGAGACGCGCAAGTACCCGTTAGTGGTTCAGTTGCGCAAGCGTGTGGTTGCTTCTTCTAGAATCGATAATCCAATTCGAGATGTCTAACCGGCGGCAGTGGAATATGGCAGGTGAGACTCTGACTTTGCCGCCATCGCGTCTGGATCATGACGCGATGGCCGGCAGTCGTGAGTCTCTCTCTCTGGCCGGTACTCGGTGATGCAGGTACAATGCGGGTGAGCAGCACCAACGGACAGTCGATTATGATCGGCAATGGGATGCAGGGCTTGAGCCTTGTGCATCTGGACAAGGTGAGTGCGAGCGAATGGTCCGACGCGCGAGGCAGGCCGGTCTTGGCATTGACCGGGGCTTGTCAAATCGCAAAAGTTGTCCGCTCATCGGGTAGGCGATCCTTGGGGGGCCCGGAGGAGCTGGCGAGTGCAGGTGCGGGCACGTCAGAGAACGCCAAAACGTTAGTACTTGACTTCTTGGAGGGGGAGAATGTGAAGCAGCCTGAATGGCAAATGAGATGATCGGCGAGGGACAGTATTGACAGAGGCGACTGGGTGAAAGGCGCAAAGGTGAGACTGAGAACAGACATCTCAAACGGCACGAGAAGCCGTACCCGTGCCGGTGCCTGATTCTTGATCAGATTGGCGTGCCGTGGCTGGCGGCCGTCGAAAGAAGGCGCCGCACTGGATTCGTAGGTCGATCGGGCGGAAGCCAAAAATAAGACATGGAATCAGACAGGAATTAAGAAACGGAATACTTGGCTGCCTGGTTGGGGTGGTGTTGGGATGAGTTGGTAATGTCCCCATGTTCCTGAATGGCCTCATGTGGTGTGCAAACAATGGGTGACAGCCAGCTGGAGCCTTCAGCCCGAAACCATGCTTCTGTGCCTGCATGCCAAGTGTCTTGGTCATTTAGCAGTGGGTGCTAAGACGGTGTAAGGCTCGCAAACCATTTTGGCGAGGCCAAAGGGCATTGAATTCAGCAACGTGTTTGCTTGGCCTTTCAGGTCGTGGTTCATTTTGCGAAGGCGCCGTACTCCGTACCTGCGCTGGCGAAATGCTGTGTCGCTGGGATAAATGGCAGTGTTGGTGGTCAGTGAGAAGAAGCATAAACATAAAATAGGTATCCCGACCTTGCCAGAAACGGAAACGCTCCGGTCGCCCACGTGCCTGCCTCTTCATCGACGGTTCCCCCAGGAAAGAGGCTGGTCAGGAAGGAGCAAAAGAGTGCCTGGGCAGGAACAGGAAGCATTGAGGGGAAGGACCACCTGCCCCTGCCCTGCCCTGGCCATGAGCAGTCAGGTCAAGCAACGGCAGGCGCGACACCGAATTGGCGGCAGTTGCAGCCAGGGATGAAAGGGGAAACTGCAACAGCAGCACGCTTTCCGCGGCCTGCACAAAGTTGGAAAGCACAACGGATGACCGACGTTGTTTCCTTCCCATCAGAAAAATAATCGTAAGGCTGATGAAACCAATCACACCCACGGAAATGCAACCCTCCCAACCAAACATCCAGTCGGGCAGTGACTACCCTCGGCATCGGAAGAAGGTGCGGTTACTGCTCCCGTACCTACCTAGTAGGTAGTCATCCATCCGTCCCGTCGCGATGCCCTGTGCTGCACTGCGAAAACTTCAGTTGGATATCCAATGCAACATCCACCTCTCCCCGCTGGTCGCATTCGCGGGGCCCCAATACGAGCGCAATCCCACAGATTCATACTTTTTGCAATCAATTTGACGTAGGACAAGACTCGACGGAGAAGTCTGTCAGCACGAAGCGGAGTACAGCATCCCCAAACAAGCCAATTCATCCACTCGCTCTACCCACACACGAGACACTGATGGACAGGGACAAGAACGAAGCGACCGGGGCTTTCTCGCGGGCGGCGGCACAGCAATCACTCAGTCAATCAGGACTTGCGACTCACGATTCACAACGCAGCCTGCATTGGCATACACCTCGCTGCTCGACTCTGCCAGTGCTGCTGCCTGCCCTCCTCTGCCTTGCAGGAATCTCAGACCCTCGGAGATGATCAAAATGCACATCGGCCTGGACAATCAAGGGCTTGCGCAAGTTGGACGACAGCCGGTGGCATCAACACCAACAGAAGCGAGAGAGAAAGACGGCCTACCATGACAAAAACAATCCACGAAAAGAAGCAATGGAAGACGCTAATCCATCGTTCGTCTCAAACACTCCCCCCAAGCTAAGATGAACGGCGCATCGACACCACGGACAATACCAGCCACGCCATCGCCGCACCGTGCTCACTGCCCCCTCCTGCGCTTCCGCCCTCAGTCATCTCACGCTGCAGGTACTGACTGCAGTCTTCTCTCAAGGGCCTCAAAGACGCAACCACGCCAGACGATCTCCCTTCTTTTCCCCGAATAGCGCCAAATCCCCTGCACGCTCGGGAAATACACCGCTGCCACGGGATCAGCTTTCCAATCCTCACAGGCACACTCGCATTCAATTGCAGATGCAACTGGGTTGGTCCCCATCTCACGATGTGCGACAGCGAGGATACTTGATGCTGACACCCAATCACAGCAACCGCGTCCCTTGCGTCAGTCCCCTTTCATACGACTCTAATGCGCCAAGTCCTGCACCTTCACACACCCTTCTTTCCCACGAGTTTGCCGGATGACATCGCCCAGCTGGGAGGACCCTAATACGACGCCCGAAGGAAAAGTACCGCACCTCGTCAAAGCCTCCAAGCCTCAACAGCATCCAACCAACTCCCACTGTTGCTGGCCCCGCGCCGCTCCCGCCGCCTTCCCTTCCACACAAAGCCGTTGCCGATGATCTCTTTGTCATTGTCCCCTTTATGTTACCCTGCCTGGCTGCCTGTCGCGATGCTCGCCGTCTTCCCTAAAAGGTACAAGCTCATGAGTAAAAAAAGGATCCCGGGTCTCTAGCGCCAAGTGCTTCGGGCGCACACCGTCGGGACTGCAATTTTGACGTCCAGTCACTCGGGTTGCCAATGCTCGTATTGTCTCCTCAACCTACTATTCCGGTCAGGGGCAGCACGCGAGGTCGTCGGCATCTAAGCAGCGCAGGCTCTCCAACAAAGGCCGACACGGTTTTCTTGGCCCTCATTTCTTCTTCGTCTAAGTCTCTGAAGACGATCCCACCAGAGTCCCCGCAGAGGGGTCTGCCCGGTGGAGGTTCCACGATGGCGCCGGCGCTGGCGCATCGACACTTGGGCCTTGTTTTCTTCCGCCCGTCTCTCGCACGACGTCAAGCCATAGCATAGCCCATAGCTCCCCCACGGATAGCAGTGCCTGCAAGTTGCAAGACACCTTGTTCATACGGACATCCCCCTTGCGTGCGATCCTCCGCTTCTGGGGTAGTCAAGACGAAAGCCATGTACCCTGTCGCCCCATCTCGCCCGAGGACTCGGCCGCCGTTGGGCGTTGCCCACGGACTCGGCGGTTACCTTCTACCCAGCCTTCTCTTCTCTACGCCAACCGGCAGGTTTGTCTAGCACTTCATTTCCCATTATCCCCGGGGCTTGTCATGCATTCATAAGGCGTGGGTGGGCACCTCCCTTGGCGTGGAAGGTTTAGATATAAGCGTATCTCGTCCCCCCTAGAAGGTGAGGCTGCTTCTGCGATACCTTGTCCACCATCACCTCAGTCATTCGCTTCTACCGCCTTCAACCGCAACGATGCTTGTTAGAGTACACTCACTTTCGCTCCTGGCGGCCATATTCGCCTCGGGAGACTTGGCCACGGCCATTCCCTTCGAGTCATCGTCTGCTCTGTCCACCAGAGATATCCCGCGTCCCCGTTTTGGAAGTGTCCCATATGGAGTCGATCTTACCCAGTGCACTGTGAAGGGCAAGGTCGCCCTCTCCTTCGATGATGGTCCAGGAGAATACACCGAGCAGGTTCTCGACACCCTGGAGAAGAACGGAAACATCAAAGCTACCTTTTTCTTGGTCGGCACAAACGGCAACAACGGCATCTCCAACGCCGCCTACACCCCGGTTCTGAAGCGCATGTTCAATGCTGGCCACCAGCTCGGCAGTCACTCATGGAGCCACAAGGACTTCGACACCATCTCTCATGATGAGAAGGTTGAGGAGCTTGTCAAGAACGAAGAGGTCTTCTCCAAGACTCTTGGTGTCATCCCCACCTACTTCCGCCCTCCATACACCCACTGCGGCAGCGCTTGCATTTCCACGCTGAATGACCTTTCTTACCACGTGGTAGGTAACAAACTTCACCGGTTTGATGTAATGTTACTAATGGCAATTAGATGGACTACAACTTGGATACCAAGGACTGGGTCGACAACGGCGTCAACTCCAAGCAGACTTACTCCGGCGCCGTCAACGGTGGAAACCCCGCAAGCGATTCCTTCATTTCCCTGGCCCACGACATCCACACCTTCACCGTCAATGGCTTCGTCCAGTACATGATCGATGTCGCAAAGGCCAAGGGCTTCGAGTTCACCACCATTGGCGAATGTCTCGGCGACCCGGCCTCCAACTGGTACCGTGACCCCAAGACTGGCGAGCCCTGGGGCGGCGTCAAGGAGGAGCCCAAGCCCAGCACGACGTCCAAGCCCGCTGTTCCTAGCACGACCTCTGCTGCCGAGACCAAGACCTCTGCGGCGGAGTCTGCTACTGCCAAGGCCACCCCTACCAAGAGCGCCTCCGACGACGACCGCGAGACCGAAGGCCCCAGTGGCGCCACCACCGTCAAGCCCCCAGGTGCCTCCGCTACCATCAACGGTGGCGCTAATGTCGGCCTCGGTCCCGTCACCCCGACTGGTACCGCCGGCGCCGCCGCACCCACCAACACGCCGACTCACGTGGAGGTCAACGCCGCCGGTCGTGCTGTCTTCTCCGTCGGTGGCGCTCTGGCCGGTGTCCTGGCCTGGGCCATGATGATCTAGTTTGCATGTATGCCTGGCTCCCCATCAGGCGGGAGGGAACATATATTCGTGTAATATTTTGGATAATCCTTAATCTGGCCGTCGCTAGGTCGATGCGCCCTGGGTTCCGGCTTTGCCGATGGAGATGATGTATGATACCATGCCTTTGTATGCAATGCGTACCGGATATAGATGCGAAAAGTTGCTGCCATTTGATCTGATTCCTGATTCTTGACATGAATTCTCGCCTGCTCATGGAATTGATGTCTATTGATGTAGCTGAGAGAAACTATCACAGCAGATGTCCGTAAGCGAATAACAGTATACTATCTCCATTCAAGTCGTCGAGAAACTTCTAAACGGTGCTCTCTTCATCTTCAAGTAGCATAAATAGCTGCGAGCTGCCACCATAACTTTTGTTGTGGCCAATCTCAGGCTACCAGGTTCTCTCAACTCCTCAGACGCAGATGTTTATCCTCGTCGCAGTGATTGTGGTTTTACAGTGCCGGTATGGCTGGAGGCGAGCGGGAGAAGTATCAGCATGCCCTCTCGCCTCTATGCGGCACGAATAGTTCTTTAATACCTGGCAAGCCCTAGGGATGGAAGTTGGTGGTGGTGTGGCATACGAGTGTGCGTGAATGTGTTATTGTGTTTGTGACACTTCGCGGCCTTCTTACGATGGGATGAAGTAAGGCAACCTACGCGAGCTCGATTGCTTGCAGGAGAAACCGGCCAACATGATAGCTTCAGGGCCTTTAAGTAGTCCGCGGCATGTCGAGGAGGTGACTTTTGAGACTATACGTGCGATGAAGAACGGGGGGAACAGCCTCTTGGGGAGGGGTATTCATTACCACCTGGTCTGAATCCCCAGGGAATGCTACAGGTGGACGGCGGAAGGGATACCTGGAAACTTCAGTGGTTGATCCAAAGAAGGCGGCGATGGAAACCTGATTCTATGGCTTTGATACTTTATCCAACCCATCCTGCTTGGAATGAGACTTTATCTGTGATTGAATACTGACAACCGACCATTCGATACAATTGTGTAGTGAGATTAAGGGTTCCATGGTGGCCTTAAATATCTCCTTCTCTACATTCTCGGGGGGGGTTTCGAGTGCGTGTAGGTACTTTGAATACCTCGCCTTCGAAATATGCCTTATGTCCGGCGAGTGGTATCTTGCTCCTCAGAATGAAAGCGCATACTAGTGCTCGCAACTTCTATATATTCGTATTTTCTGTCAACCCCTGGCAATTTCCCTGGCCGCCAATTGAGTCTGTGCGCCAAAAGATGTGTGTTTGTTTCGATGGTTAGACCCAAACCCTACGATGGAGGTATCTAGATCATAATCTTATCAGTAACGTGCGGGCTGAGAATAAGAGAAGATGTGATTTCTGTCGTCGATCATCTGTTTGAGAGTATTCCGAGCTTGGCGTATGTGATACGCTAGCTGTTCATACTTCGCTGAATTGCGAGGTCAGGCTGCCTCTCGAGATATGCACCGGTCGTGGGAGCAGCAGTACTTCGAGTCAACACGAGATACAATCTGCCTCAATGTGCACCATTTGCTTGCCGGCTGAAGAAGATGATGATTAAGTGAATTTATAATTGTTCGGTGATCTGTTCATTCAGACTGCAGGGGCGTAAACCCAGCAGACGAGATCTCATATTTGTCACATAAGTACCCTATGACGTCGAAATCTATTATGGCCTCAATTAAAGAAGCTCGTCGCTCAAGAGTTAGCACATGAGGAATTGCTATCAGGCTTGTTGGTCATCTTGAGTTGCGTGCTGGTTCAAGTTAGGTAATATTTATCACCACAGAACACGATGCACTTGTGTCTATTCTGCTAATAATGGCTGAGGGATGGGGAGAGATGACAGCCATGCAAGTGTTTCGATGGTGCAGGATGGAAGGCGAGGGCAGCTAGCTCACTACGAACACTTACTAGCAAAAGATGCTAATTGCTGCTGGCTTGCCGAAGCAGCCAGACACCGCGAAACAAATTGCTGTGTAAAAGGAGATCGATTGGAACGGGCTCTAATTATATACTCCCGCCTTAAGCTTTTAGATCTCAATTATGTCCGAGAGCAAATCAGGTCTCTCTATCAATAGCTTTTGCATACATAAGCCGTCGCTGGTAGCAGTCGTAAATATTGGTTAGCACACCATTGAGACCAATGCCAGAGGTCTACCCATAGGCAATCCACAAGATTGACGGTCCGTGAAGCGTTCCGTGAAATTACGACGTGCGACGGGCTTTTGCCACTGAGCTGTCTTTAGACTTGCCCCTTGCAACAGCTTCATTATGAATAGCTTCAAAGTGACAACTGTCGCAGCAGACGCGCAGAGACAGTTATGGGGGAAGAGTCTCAACATTCCTCACTCGTTCTTGCCACCTGGCTGAGGCAAGTGTGGCCAGTCTGCAAGTTGTAATCCACGGGTCCAAAATACCTTGCAGAGACGCCATTAACAATCTTTTCATAGATTGAGGGGTACACTCGACATGTAAAGACTTGGCCTTCAGTCAGATAGACGTTGTGGGTGAGAGAACTCATCGCCTATGGGTTCCTCCAAACAAAGATATTTTTGATATCAAGGTCGGCCATGAATGGAATGTGTCATCAGCAGCGAGATGAGGCCATTGGTTTGATGCGTTATACTATTCATCGCCAGGACCTATTCTTCCAACAGCTCCTAGGATAAAATCCGGCTCATCAGCGAGACGCTAGTTCAAGACAATAAGTGCGGCATTATATCATCATCTTCAACGTATCGCTTTTTATGTATACGAGTTGGTACACTCACAGGAGTCTCACGAAGGACAGCGACATGGGATGCCTGTGGGCGTTCGTAATCCGGGAAGATGCATCTAGAAGAAAGAGGCAGCACTCAGAAGTGGCGGCTACGTCAACAAACAACTCTCAGGCTTTTGAGAGGATTGTTACGACACCAAATGAGATCATCCCGTTTTGTTTGAAAAGCTGATAACTCAAGTTTCCATGTGGTTTATAAACGGCCTGCTGGTACCGTACAGAGCAACAGTTGAAATTCTACGGTGAGGCGGGCAGAGAAACCTCATGATGGCCGGAAGTTACAAAAGTATAGGTTATGAGATCAAACCAGCTACGAAGTCTCAAAGATAATGAAAGTCGACGCTGTAAATTTCGAACCGGGAGTCTTCTTCTGTCTTTAGAAGACTACAAAATAATAAGAAGAAACTACGCCATAGCGAAACGCTTTGTGCCTCTAGAGATCTAACCGCCGGACCTACCGTTTTGACCTTTGAGTGTACCGGGCGAATAATGACGAGAAGATGAGGGGAGTTATTCTACACCCACGGGCCATGAAAGTCACCACGGTACGGTGGCTTCTATGAGGACAGTTGAGATGTGGAAAAGGGGGTGTTAGGGTGCCTGACATCGTGAAACAACCAAAGAGTTCAAGTAGACAAGGTATGATTTGGTTCGAACTCATTGACCTTCCTAGGACAAGCAGACTTTATGAAGATGACACCGGCCACAGAGGAAACGAAACGCGCTCACTAGAAAGGCAACTTGTGAAAATGACTGCTGACGAGACCGCATATATATTGCAAAATTGGGGGCTAACGGTAATTCGTGAAGAGGACAAGCAATCATAGCAGACATTTTGGAGAATGACTAAAGTATCCCACATATTTACACCTCAAGAACGATCGCCAGCATGGCCTTTGTGGCCTGTCCGGGCACAGTGAACAAAGGCACTTTGCCTGTCTGATTTACTGTTGCCGCTTATGTGGTAATAGTCAAATACCCTGAAAAAAGTTGGGAGGGACAAGAGAACATCGCGCCACTCTGACAACCCTCGGTCATCAATGCAAAACCTCCATTCACAAGCAGAACCTATCCTGTATGGCTGGCGGCTTGATAGCCGCAGGCCTTTCAGGAGCCATATGGAACTAACCTTATCATCACGCATTTAAGGCGGGAGTAGTATATCGTGAGTGCACAGATATCGAAACCATCTCCATCTGCCCACTTCTTCTTTCTCTCCTGCCACTACTGGATTGTACATGGTATCTGCCTGGTCTCTTTCGCAGGTTTCGAGGTTACCTACGTATTGACGATGTCGTTATGCTCTACTGTATACTGTGATTGAATGCGACCTGCCATGATCGTTGTCCTCCTTGTGGCACGAATGGCGCCCAAGTTTGCCGAGTCAACAAAGCGGACAACGATATGATGTCCCCCTTGCTTGAGATATCGAGATCTCCTGATACATTTGAACTACGTCGTAAGCGAGCCTTCAGTGTTTCTCGTCCTTTCCGATGGTATAATTGACACCGTCGGAAAAGCCTTTTGAAACATAAAACCTGTGAATCCGCATTCGTCCTGGTCTGATCAGCCAAGTTACCCTTCCAAACCCTCAGCGTAGTCTTCAATCTTTCCCTCCTTCTACCACCCACGATGTTGCCCACATACATGTTCATAACTTTGCTCTTTACCTTTGGAGCCTTCGGTAAATGCCTCCGAAACGCGTATCTACCAGGCTCGTATAGCTGGCGGAATAGAAATGTCAAAATAGATTCTGTGTGCGCAGAATTTGCAGGCGATTTCTCCCCGGATCAATCCAAGGCCAAGTGCATTGAAGACAAAAGCGGCAGGAGATGGGACTTTGAATTGAAGGTTCGTCCATGCCCAAATGCGTCTACTTGCGACGTTCAGTATATATCGCCATCTAGCGCGATCAAATGACACCATTAACGCCGTGTTTGTTTTAACAAAAGCTCGTTCCTGACCTCATGTTGTCATAGTTCATTGGCAGCGGCCAAAAAAGTCGTCACATCAGCGAAAAAGAGTGCATGGGCGGCATGGAGTCCGAAGCCATAAAGTGCCGCAATGGTGGGCACACGAAATACACTAATTGGGAATACAAGTGAGTTTCAAGTTGGACATATCCATGAGCACAAGAAAGGATTCTGACGGCTTTTGGTAGGGTTGTGCCTGGGCAACGTTGGCCGGAGAAGGAGGTTGGCTGTAAGGGGTGACTGAGGTCACAGCGGCCTGGGATAAACAAAGCTCTGTTTGGCTCAAGCTGAAAGCTGTCCTGATTTGAACGACCTGTACGCTGGATCAAATCATTTTTCTTTCTCCCATGTACCGGACATTTGAAACATGGTTCCTTGATTTTTAGGAAAATAACACGACATTCGCTGAGGTTGCTGGCTATCAGTGCTCTTCGAGCAGAGTTGATTCGGGCTGCAGCAAGTTGGATCATTCCCGCAGCGCCTCGTGTTCTTTCCGCTGCTGCCTGGACTTCCCAGCCCACAATAGACAGAAAACGGCATCGCTCAACGCCCTCGCACGGGCCATTTCCTAAGCGATGAGTGAGCGCCCTTGCCCGAAATAATACCTACGTCGAAAAGGATAACAAGTATGTTCTACGTGGGAAATCTGGCTTCACCACGACTGCCTGGTAGATGTTGACACCGTAAGCACATGGAATCCTCATATATGCTCAATTCACCCCCATGTCTATGTTTTGGTAAACGCGCGTAGCCAACTACGTTACTGCCAAAAACAAGACACCACCCACCTTCATCATCAATTGGCGATAATCATGGAGCGAAACCGCCACCCTGGTCGTTGTCTCGGCGTACTTAAGACGCTAATCGTTGCCTTTTCAACCATACACTTTACAACCGCGGTAGAATGTTGGGGTGGTCTGTCAGAGTATCCTAACGTGTTTGTCATTGTGAGTCATTACCAATGTTGAAGTTGAGGGATTTTAGCTCAACCTGAATCAACAGAATATCGGACGCTCGCACTCGACTGTTGGGGCTGCGTGGCCCGGCCTCAGAAGGATACCGGATGGAAACACAAGTCTGTATAATGCGATGAAGAACTCAAAAACACAACCACTAATCCAGTACCAGAGTGGACGCCCTTCCCCGAGGACACAACCTTACCTGATTTCTTCCTATCTGGACAGGAACCAAATTTGCAGAGTGCTCTATTTGATTCAAGGTATTATTTGTCCCGAGAAGTGGTTCAGATATTGAAGGCTTATCATAAATAGCCACATGATTTGTCACAAAGACGAGCCGGACTTCTTCATGGCAAGGACGTTTGAAAACCCAACGCCGGACCCGAACCTTTTTGGCGGAAATTTGCTATCTAACGACACCCTCCTAGCTGTCCTACAACAATCCAAAAGGATAGCAGAAAGCTGGCTTGGAGAATCGTCAAAAACAACTGTTATTGCCGTCCCAGAGGCTTTGATATCTGATCCAACACGTGCAACTCTGAAGCAACTCGGCGAAGAGGTTGGACTGGACGTTCTCAGAGTTTCCAGCGCTCTTACATCTGCAGCCAGAGGCCATAAGTTGGATGTCGGACTCTACGACGAAGAACCCTTTCTGATCTTCAATATGGGTAGGGAGAACTTTGAAGTCTCGGTTATCAACATTGACCAGGGAGTTGTCGAAGTCCATTCCTCATCAATGGACAACCACTTGAGCCAAGCTTTCGGACCCTTTGCGTATGAACTCGATGATAGAGCCAAAGAAAACTCTGCCAAAGAAGTCATCGATCTCGTTGGGCATGTAATTGAGGAGGCTGATCTCACGAGGAGGGACATCCAACGGGTCATCATGACTGGTGAATATACACAGCATCCGGCCATCCGTGCTTTGCTGGAGGAGTTCTTCAACTACAACTCTTCAGTCGAGTACTTCGTCAACAACGAGTGGCACGACACAGTCACTCTGGGAACTGCCATGATTTCCAGAATTCTCACGGGAAGAGCATGCGGAGAAGTTCAATACATGTCTATGGTTCTTCCACGCTCCATCGGAGTCGGGATTGCCGGCGGTGTTACCAGCCAGATGGTTCCACGAAACATCCCCATTCCAACGGCGAAGATACTCAACTTCACAACCACTTTCGATAACCAGACAGTCGTCACAATTCCAATCGTACTAGGTGGGTTTGTCGCCACTGCGAAGAACCAGAGGATCGCCACCCTGAAGCTGGAAGGCATTCCTCCTGCTCCCCGAGGCGAGCCGGTCATCAGTGTCCGCATTGCCATCTCAGAAGATGAAACTCAATACGCAGCTGTACTCTTGTCGGCAAATGCAACTTTGATCGGCTCTCAAGGGGCTATCTCGATCGTTCACCATATGATTTTAGACGACTGGATTAGCTGGGATGATGACGAACTGTACCACCTTATCCTGCAAGAGGAGGCAGAGAAAGATCATCACGACGATATATGCCGAAGAAGTTCGTACCTCGACTCTGATGAAAGCACCCAAGTTTCGAATAAAGACTTTGACAATCTAGATGACTGGTGGGTGACGGATAGACTGAGAGCGAAAGCAGATGTGGAGAATGGACACGCTGCTCGTGCACTTTGTTTCTATGAGAAGGCATTACCTTACTTTCCTATTGGACATTCGGGGCTTCATCAAGAGATCAAGGCTTTATGGAAACAAATACCAGAGCGGATGGATCACAGTACATTTCACGGGCCGGAAAATGCATTTCGTAGTCGGTTGGTAAGCGATTGCTACCGTCAGTATCCATGACAGCAAGTTCATCATCTTAGCTGTGGAGATGATTGGTCTTTTGTATGTAGTCGGAACTCAAGATAACAGAAACTGCTGGACAATCTGAAGGCAATACATCGATACCACACCAGGCGTTCCACCTTCCACAAAACCCATCTGGTCCGACATACACTGAATACGCTAACTCATCTTTTCTCAATTTCCTCAATTTCCAGATCCTTAACGTCTGCCTCGGCCTCTACTCGCTCCGTGGGGAAGGGCTTCCGCCGCAGTTGAGCCCAAACCATCTTGTGAGTAGGCCTCATGAATAAAGCGTCCATGTCCTCAAGAGAAATTCCTGGAAATGGGGAGCATTAGCAATTATCATCCCAAGACATCGGGAACGTCCCAAGGGAATCATGCCTTTGGTTTCTGGGACGAATGCAAATGCCCAAATACCCATGCCGACCAGGATAGCACTAAAGAAGAAGTATGCTCCGTAGCCCAGATCAGAAATCATGTACGGTGTTGTTCGTGCGATTATGAACGATCCGACCCACGTGTCTGCTGTCGTGAGAGCTACGCACAGCATGCGGATGTCCAGGGGAAATATCTCAGAGCAGACCGTCCATGTAATCCCCTGTGGCTCGGTTAGCCGTCTGTTACAAAGCAACCTCCCTAGGTGCTTTACTTACCTGCCATGTAGCTGTGATAATGAACCCATGGATGTAAACACAAGTAATAGCGAGGTGTGCCCAGCCGTCCTTGGCGACAGGTCTTCCAGCTGCTGCTGCCTCGATGGGATTGGCTTTCATGACGTACGACCCAATGTAGAACATCGGGATATATCCTAAAGCCGAACCCCATATCATGCCTTTGCGTCGCCCAACCTTCTCAATGACGAGGACAGTAAAAGTAATCATACCGAGGGTCTTTGCAACTCCATAAAATCCGGTTGAGAAGAGCTTGGTAGAGGTTCCAGTAACTCCAAGTGTTTCGAAAATTCGCGGGGAATCTAGCCAAGTCGGAAACTTGTTAGCATAACGACATTGGCTGCTCGCAGCGATAACGACCCGGAGATAAAGCACGAGGCATATGAAAATATCCCGGAGGCACAGTCTCCTTTCCTGGGCTCTCCCACATATGTACTTCGTAGGAACTGTGGGGGATTCTTGACTTACAATACATAAGGATGTTCACACCAGTAAAGCTTTGGAGGAACACAAGGGCTAGTCCGATACCCAGGCGGTTCCGAACACCTTTCTGGAATAACTTCTTCGCCTTGGCGGTTTTGCTCATTTTCGTGGTGCTTCGTTGCTCAATCTGGGTCCGTATCTCGCCCATCTCATGTCTGATGTAAGAATGATCACTCGAAAGTCCGCGGATCATGGTCAGCACGCGTTCCGCTGACTCGTAGTTGTCGCCCTTAGCCAGCCACCGAGGGCTTTCTGGGCAGAACATCATGCCGACAAATAAGAGAACCCCTGGTACCAATTGGAAGGCCAGAGGAACTATCCACTGCGTCTTGGCGTCGTTGGCGACAATCTGATCGGTTGCGTAGTTGATCCAGAAACCGAGCATCCCTCCTCCTTGAGACGCAATCTCGAATATCCCGATTAAACGGCCTCGGATGGATGGTGGGGCTGTTTCGGCGATATACACTGGCACGACGAGGGCACAGGCTCCGATACCTAAACCAGCGACGGCGCGACCGCCAATGATCATGTTCATATTGCCATTAGAGGCTGTCATTACTGTACCACCAAGAAGGAAGACGCAGGACGCGATGAGTATGGCTCGTTTGCGTCCTAGTTTTTCAGCAATAGGGAAGGTGAAAAGCGAGCCGAAAAAGCAGCCAGCCTAGAAGCTATGAGGTTAGCTCCATTATCAGACTCAATGAGAGCAGCCTTGGAGAGGTTCGAGGATAGGCAACTTGCATAGAATGTAGAGACGATGTTGCTTTGGACTTCATCCCTCTTGGACTGCGTGGCATTGAGAAGTCCAAAGTCCCGGACGAAGGAGTCGAGAGCCATCGTCCCACCGATCACGGCACTGTCGTAGCCCACTGCATGGGTTAGAAAGTTTGATCCAATTCAATGGACAACGATGAAACGAGGTCTTACATGCTAAAGCTGACATGGAAGCCACAAGTGCAATGAAATGGATGCGCCAGTTCCGTACTTCCGGGGGGTCGTTCGTCCCCGAAGCGTGGGTGTTGAAGCACCCCATGTTCAAACGTCACAACAGGAGGTCTGATTTCCGGCAAAATTTGGATGATGTTATGAGAGATGGAGATGCTAACGTCTGAGAGCTTGAGAAGTAGCCACGAGGATTGAAGCTATCTGGCTGCTGTGCCTGAGCTATGATGAGGACCATCTCTCGTAGCTTGAGCTCACCCTGACGTCTTAAATACACTGAGACGGCTCTCAAATGTGCATCCCGCTCGGATACACCCTCACGGTCGTGATCCTTGGCATAATTCTTGGATGGCATGTTTGCTAGGTTCCCCGCGGGGTTGAAAAAACCTGGGGAACCAAGCAGCCTATGAACGTGGAAGGTTATGAGCTTACAAGCTCTCCGTGGCGCCAGAACTGAGTCCGGGGAAGCGTCAGGTGGGGAAGAAACGGGTTGCTTGGTAGATCGAAACCGTAGCAACCTTATTTCCACATCGCAAATCTCAGACGAATGTGCCCAAGAACCAGCCAGGGTTGCGGGCTTGTCCCGCAAATCAGTCCACCTATCAACGAGATCGTCCTAGAATGCCAAGGACAAGCAGATAGTCGTTTATTCCTAGGAAGGACGTTGCCATCGGATCAGTTCCGATACATGCTTGGCACGAAATTCGACGACACAGCTCGAGAGATAGGGGCTTTGGTCAACTCCTACTTTATCGTTGCTGTCAATTGGAAAGCATGCAAATGTAAAATAGAAGTAGAATTGAGAAAGGTATTATTGATAATTAAAACGATTGTATACTTCATGCTATATCAACACATCACCACAGTAGATATTTCCAAGATCAAACCCATGTTCGAACAAATCGTTCCAAGGAATATCAGCGCTTGGCGTCGGCTGAGCCGAACTATGATCTGTTGGATGGTGACCTTTTAGACCAAACCAAGACATGAACTCCGTGTCAACCTGGTTATCAGCAGGGTCAAGATTGCTCTCGAAGAAGGGCAAAGTTGCCCTTCCCAGTCTTTGAATAATCCCCACGCTTCTCTCTACGACCGCTCCTCCATGGGAGATATCCCGAAGGAGTGTCGTACACGACCTGATGTTGGACTCCACTACGTCACGCGTGAGCTCTTGTCTCAAGGCGGCGCTGGCTCTGAGTGAGTACAACATGGTAACGCCCGCCATGAACAGTGACGTAAGAGCCACGAATGTGTAGGTGACTTTGTTTTTGGCGTAGAGCGCCGCATAACAACTGATAAGGCTTATTGACGAGTCTGCGCAATGGCGCAGGGCTTCGATGGTGCTGACCGGTGATGCATGCGATGGCCTGTACAGGTTCATGATTGCTTGGTGATAGGCGATTTGGAACCATTCAGGTGTTTGGTGCATGGATGTTGGGACCAAGTAACGGGGGGCCGAGATGAGCCATTGGTTTAGTCTGGTATGGTGTTGAACTCGGATAACGTCGATGTTGCTCCCTTCAAGATTTGTGTCTCCGGCGGAGTGCAGGGACTTATAGATATCGGCATTGATGCGGCGGAGCTCGATGATGTGAAGGAATGTTGACAAATCGTTCACATCGGGGCCGAAGCTCAACGGTGTTTCTTGAGATGGGTTGGCGAGAACGTCATCGGAAAGAGATAATGGTAGTGGCACAGTAATATCTGCATCTTGGATCCCGAGGGGAAGGCCGAGAGACATAGAGATGCCCCGGTCCATGGTGTAGACGCACCAGAAAAGCCTCTTACACATTTCTGCTTCAAGAGGTTCCTTGGAGGCGATTGTCTCGACGCGATGTAGGTTCATGCCTACAGCAAGCCTTAGGGCTACGCCTATCGCGTACCATAAGTTGACCGACTGGGGCTCATTGTTGCCGTAAATACAGAGCAGCAAGAGACACTGGACGCTGTCAAAGTCATCAGTTGCTAGCGCACCTCCCAGGCTGGCGGTGGCCGACTGAAAGAAGTCATCTTGCAACTGCCTATGTCGCTCATCCGTGCGGGCTCTTTCCGATGCTGCGATCGCCAGGACAATGTTAACTTGGAATAGGGACAAGTCACCGACTGCCTCGCCTTGGGAGAAGGGCAAATAGTGTTTCTCAAGAAATGTGGGTTTGTGTAGGGCAGGGAATTGAGGCCATCGACGACTGAAAAAACCCTCAATCAAGTAGTTGTTGTCTTGTAAGCTTGGGTGTATCACAGATACGGGGCCTTCCGGCGTTCGTCCGGTCGAAACACCATCCCACAGACGGGACGGGCTGTTTAGAAGACTCTCTTCTCCAGTCCTTGACGTCCCTGTTCCTGAGAATGTAGGACGTAGAAGACGATCGGTGTGTATTCCTATCAAAGCGTGTCCTTGCTGAGAGGAATGCTGGCCGGTACCTGTGTCCAGGCTATTCGCAGTTGGGGGGTGTAAAGAGTCCGCTGCAACATCTCCGTTGGCGACCGCAGCCATCAACGCCTCCAGCTGCGCGGTGAGATTCTCCACTTGACTTCGGAGCCGATCACATTCGCAGTCAACATTGGCTACACGGACAAGGAAGCGCTCCGAAGGTACGCATGGCGTGCCTGCCGCCGAGCATTGCCCGCATATCGGAAGTTGTCCGTCGCACTTTACATGAGCCCCTGTCAGTTGCTAGACATCTTCAGGCCGGTAAAGTCGGAGCCCTTCTTACCTTTTGCTTTCTTCTCCGACACCTCTCGCACGCTGCGACTCCACGTTTGAGCCCCCGCCGATGGGTTGTTGAGCGTGTCCGGGGGTTAGAGCTACCCAGGGGCGTTAGTCAGCCACATCAAGCGCAAAACTCCCCCTACTCACATAGGGGGCGAAAAAACAGGGTTTCCACGCAAAAAAGGGGGTTTCTAGCTAGTCGCATAAAAGTTACGTTTTTCTCGTTTTACTACTAAAAAACGTCTTTTTTAAAACTACGCTATAACTTAAAACTACGCTTTTTTTAATTATTTCGTTTAATCCTAGCTACTAGGATACTTTACTAGAGTAATACTAACTTAACGCTTACTAAATAAGCTATATAAGCGTTATATACTATATAATATTAAGCTTTCTACTTTAGCTACTCTAGTAAGCCTCTATCTATAGTACTATTAATCTAAGCTATTACTAAGGACTATAAAGTATCTTATATAGTAGTTAAGAAGTATCTAAAAGCTCTCTAAGTTAGTTATAACTTCTCTATACTACTTAAAAAAAGTAACTAGCTAAAAGTAGTAATAGAAGCTAAAAACTTAGTTTTAGTAGTATTTATAATATAGCTTAATATTATTAGTTTCTTAGTAACTCTAATTATTATTAAGGAGATAGCTAATACCCTCTAAACTAGCTAAAATAAAAACCCTATTTTAAAATACTTTATAAGATCCTAGAAATCTAACTACTTAGAGTTCTAAAAAAAATTAAAAATTAAACCTATTAAGGTTTATTAGAAAAATATTAAATTTAATTTAATATTAATTTAAGACTTCTTTAATTAGTATAAAGCTATAATTTAAAATTATAAACTTAAGCTTTTTAAGATATAGAATACTAATAAGTCTAGCTACTATATTAGCTACTTTAGTAGTTATATATATATTATTTTACTCTAAAGATAGTAGAAGTAAAGTAAACTATAAGAAGTTATTAATTTAGTTAATAGAAAGTTATATACTCTTATTAGTATTAATAATACTATTAGAGATATTATCTTAGCTTACCTTATTTTTAAAATATAGTTAATTACTACTTAAGCTAATTATAATATTAATAAAAGTATTTATTTTATATAATCTCTTATTATTTTCTCTAATTAAGAGATTATAATAGATTATATTAAGTATTTTAATATATATTTATTTAAGTAGTTAGTAAAATTCTAATAGTTTAAGTATATAATAAAGTTATAATTTAGTATTAATATATATAGAAGCTACTCTAATTAGCCTAAGATATATAGCATAATACTAAATACTTATACTAAGTTATATAGAGATATTCTCTAAAAAGAATCTAATATAAAGCTATATTATTTACTCCTTTTTAATAGCTTCTCTAGTTATATTAGCTTAGATCTTATAAAATACTATATTAACTTTAATATTATTATTAGTTTTTTTCCCCCTCACGCTATATATTTACTTTAACCTATAGATATAGAGGTTTTCTAGCTATTTAAGAAAGCTTACTAGATAGTATTATAAAAGTTTATATAAAGTAGTAACCTTATTTTTATTTAGAGAGACTTTATTAATAAGTTTTAGTAGATAATAGATACTATATTTACTTTAGCTAATATTATAATAAGGTTTAAAAAGTTAAATATCTAGCTAATTAGAGATAATATAATCCTCTCTTAATTAGTTAAATATATATAATTAGCCTAAGTTAATATTCCTAGTTACTTATTTTACTACTTATTAGATAATAATAAGTTTAAGAGAGCTATACTATAAATAGATATAATTAAGTAATATTATACTACTAAGTAAAGCTCTCTTATTTAAAAAGGATATAAAGTAATTAAAGCTATAATTAGTAAGAATAATCTATACTATAAGAGAAGCTAAGAGTATATTATTAACTATAATATATATATAAAGATATAGTAATATAAATAGTAAACCTAGTAAAGTATTAAACTAGCTTACTTATTTATTACTAGTATATTATTCGTAGAGATTAAAGAGTATTATAAGAAGTAAGTAATTAAAGTCTCTAAGAAAGAGTTTAAGTAGTAATATACTACTATAAAAAAAGAGGCTTAGTAGTAAGAGAAAGCGTTATAAGTAGAGTATAATACTAATAAATACTAACTAATTAATAAGTATATAAAGAAGTTAAACTTTATATTATAGTTAAAATATATTAAGAGATTTAATAACTATATTATATTTAATTTAAAAGACTTATAATAATATAAAGTACCTAAACTTAAGTAGTAGATTAATCTTAACCTTATACTACTACTAAAAAAGAGTTAAGATATTATTAAGTATTATATAAAGCCTCTTAGCTGCTTTAATATTAGAGATCTACTAACCTTAAGAGGGTACTAT